TTCCTGCAGCATTATTTACAATAGCCAAGATATGGAAGCAACCCCAGTGTCCATCAATAGACGAATCAGTAAAAAAGATGTGATATGTATATAAAAATATAAATAATGTGGAATATTACTCAGTCATTAAAAAGGGTGAGATCTTGCCATTTATAACGTAAATGGATCTAAAAGGGTATTATGCTAAGTGAAGTCAGAGAAACAAAAATACCACATGATTTCACTTAGATGTAGAATCTACAAAACAACTGAATAAAAAGCAGAATCATTTATAAATACAAAGAACTGAGGGGCTGCCGGGAAATGGGCAAAATGGGTGAAGGGGAGTGGGAGATGCAGGCTTCCAGTTATGGAGTGAATAAATCACAGGAATAAGAGGCACAGCATAGGGAATAGAGTCAAAGATACTGTAACAGTGGTGTGTGGCTACACTTGCAGTGAGCAGAGCATAAGGTATAAAGTGATGGAATCACTATGTTGTCCACCTGAAACTAATGTAACATCGTGTGTCAACTAAAAAAAAAAAATGTACAGTGCTTCTATTTATAACAGCAGAAGAAACCGTCTAAATGTTCTTAATAGGGAACAGTCTGAATAAACCATATGACATCACATGATGGAGTTCTGTGTATCAGTCAAAAGAAATGAGGAAGATCTCATACTGTAGAATGCACAAGCTGTAGAGTGATCTCTGGGATTTCAACTAAAACGAAAAACAGGTGGGGAGCCTGGGTGGCTCAGTCAGTTGAGTGTCCAACTTTTGATTTTAGCTCAGGTCGTGATCTCAGGGTCATGAGATCAAGCCCTGTCAGGCTCTGCACTCAGTGGCGAGTCTGCTTAGATTATCTCTCTCTGGGACACCTGGGTGGCTTAGTTGGTTAAGCATCCGACTTCAGCTCAGGTCATGATCTCAGCGTCCTAGGATTGAGCCCTCCATCCAGCTCCTCACTCAGTGGGGAATCTGCTTGTTCCTCTACCCCTTCCCTGATCACGCTTGCACTCATTCTCTCTCTCTAATAAATAAAATCTTAAAAAAAAAAAAGATTCTCCCTCTCCCTCTACCCTCCCCCACCTTGCACTCTCGCTCTAAAATAAATGTCTTTTAAAAATAAATAAAATGCAGAACAGTGGGTTGCCTAGGTGGTTCAGTCAGTTAAGTGTCCGACTTGACTTCGGCTCAGGTCATGGTCTCAGGGTCCTGAGATCAAGACCTGCATCAGGCTCTGTGCTCAGAGGGGAGTCTGCTTCAGGATTCTCTCTCCCTCTGCCCATCCCTCTGCTTGCTCAAGCTCTCCCTCACTCTCTGTAAAATAAAGAAGTAAATTTAAAAAATAAAATAAAATGCAGAACAGTATGCATTTAAGAAAGAGAAAGAAATGTAGTTACTCGTATTAAGGGAGAAAAAATGGAAGGATCTCAATGACTAATTAAAAAAATTTTTTTTTAAGATTTTATTTATTTGACAGAGAGAGAAACAGCGAGAGAGGGAACACAAACAGGGGGAGTGGGAGAGGGAGAAGCAGGCTTCCCGCCAAGCAAGGAGCCCGATGCGGGACTCGATCCCAGGACCCTGAGACCATGACCTGAACCGAAGGCAGATGCCCAATGACTGAGCCACCCAGGAGCCCGACTAATTAAAATTCTAACCCACAGAGTAAGGAAAGTAACAGGCTGAGAAAGAGAAATGAAAGGCTTTTTTCCCTCTGAATATACCTGGTTTACAATTTCAACCTTAGGACCATGCAAATGTTTCACAACACTATAAAACAGAATCAATTCAAAAAGAAGAAAAAAGCAATCCCTAAAAATTAAAACAAATATACTAACTATATGTCAAACTGGTGACAAAACCACTCAGAGAACTATTTCAAGTGACTTTAAAACAGTCATTCGACTACACATCTGCTGCAGGATACGTCCTAAGGACCAAAAGAACCACAAAGAAATATTAAACTATTTAGTATTAATCATGTTACTACTGTTATTTTGAACATATACACAATTGTTCTGGTGGCATTAATAACTAAGTTTTCTTTTTTTTAAGATTTTATTTTTAAGTAATCTGCACACCCACCATGGGACTCAAACTCACAACCCCAAGATCAAGAGTCACACGATCCACCCACCGAGCTAGCCAGGTGCCCCAGGAACTAAGATTTTCAGAGGAAAATTATATTTCAGGAGGAAAGAAATATAAACATTAAATTATAAATGTACATATAAATTACAAAAGAAATTACAAAAAGAAATTAAGTAATCTCACAATCTTAAATTTGGCCTGGAAATATCAAGGTGAATTCATGATGTATTTTTCTCTTCCTGGTTTTGACCACTCAAAATGTCTAGAAGTAATGACGACCCAGTGCAATTAGCACTCCTGACACCAATGTGTGGTTTTAACCTTCCCATACCATTTTCCACTAAAAAAAAAAAAAAAAACATGGTTTTTAGAGAAACAGCCAATTCCAGGTCCTAATGGAACATGTAAGTGATGAGCTCTGGGCATCTTTTAGGCCAGAAGGCAAGGAAGCAATGACGACATCTGGGTCATGTCAAAAAGACACACACCAAACTTAATTAGACTCCCAATAGCCACAGATGGGATGATTTGAGCATTAGAAAAATAGTATCTGCAATGGATTGGAATACAAGTGTTAAAAATTCGAGAGTTTATAACGAAGAGGGAGACCTCTAAAAGTTGCAGGAACCCCAACTCATTCTCTGAACAGTGACAAAGGGAAAGAATCAACCATTCATCCTGTCTTTCTTGCCTGAATTCTATTTCAGGGTATCCCAATAGTGTTGACAGAAAGTTTATAAAATAATTGATGCTAATATAGGAGGAAAGTTAAAATTAGAAAACAACCATTTTGTGACTCCAATGAAATAATGCATCTAAGCAATAATCATAAATGGCTGCAAAGATCATTAGGTGAAAGACTGATGGATGGTCAGGCTTGTCCATGAAATCACTGATCAATCTTCACATTTCTAAAAGAAGAGAAAATTAGACAGCACATCCTCCTGACTTAAGTCAACAGCAAATACCCTAATGAGGTATCTCCAATTTAAAAAATTATACCTGAATCTAACTAACTCTCTAAATCTAATCGCCAGCTCACAGGAAATACTGGGATAGAGAAGCACGCTAAATGTCACCAGGAGGATCTGGTGGGAAATGTCTATAGGACAAATGACCCATTTTCCTCAACAAATATATCACAAGGGAAAATGGAGGGGAAGGAGAAACTATTTCATATTAAAAAGAGACCTAAGAGATATAGCCACAAAATACAATGTTGGATCCTTATGGGATCTTGACTTTCTGAAGCAGCATTAAGAGGCCACTTTTTAGACAATTTGGAAAATTTGAACATTGACTGGATACCAGATGATATTAAAGAATTACAGTTAATTTCACGGAGTGATAATGTTTAAATTTTTAAAAAGACAGTGCTTCATAAAAAGCTCTTCTACAAACATTACCCTGCCATTGAATACCCAGAAAATGTCTGATAAATACTGGTTAAGATAAATGACAAGGGTGACACTCCCCTGTAAACTTTCCATTTCACCCTCCCCAAATAAAGGATAAACCCCTGGCCTGTTACTCAAGTCACTACCCTCCCTCACCACCAGTCCCAACCATATTTCCCAAGGCTTCCCCTTTTTGCCTCTATATTTTCAGACAAACAGGACTATTTGCAACTTTCTGCAGAGGTCACACGATTTCCTTCCTGCATGGCTTTGAAGGCTCTGGAATGCCCTTCCACTATCTCCATCTGTCCAAATCCTACCCTCTTGAAGACCCATCACCAAAGTTATCTCCTAAATAAACCTTCTTTGAACCTCCCATCAGAAGTCAGTATTCCTGTAGTTCACCTGTGACATCTATAACATCTTACTTTTTCTGCTACTTTTTTAAGAATACCTATTGATGTAGGGAAGACATTAGGGTCCAAAGCTGAGGGCCAAGAAAGAATTCTTGAGACGCCTTTGGTGCAAAAAGAGACAGGACCCTTGGGCAGAAAGAGCAGCACTGGGGTCATGAGGAGTGGCCCCTTATACTTTCAAGTTGGGAGAGGGTTAGGGATAGCCTAAGTCTAAGGAATTTTGGAAGCAAGCTTTCCAGGACCTTTTGCCCTTAACAAAGTATAAACACTGAGGCAGCTGAGTTCCTAGAGGATTTTCACTCTGCCTGTTTTAAGGACTTGTCAATAGGCTGTAGGTAGTAAGGAAACAGCCAAAACTTACACTGATTATATAACAGATTACTCAAAATTATGAAGAGCATTACCAAAATAGAAGTGTAGGAACTATCAGAGAATATAAAAGAGGTATCAGACACAATGGGACTCTGCCACATAAGTGCATGATCTAGGATTAATTACTTTAAATGACAATTCCCTGTCTCAATTTTTAATAATGCACATCTCCTGGGTATGTTTAAGGCTAAATAGAGTATGTAATGCCATCACCTGGAGACCCTCAATCAACAGTTCTGATTCCCAGCATCTGTGTTCCTCTGGAGAGAAACTCCGTTCAGTTAGGCTTTGGATCCTAATCCCTAGCTCTAGGTCTGCCAAAAGCTATGAACCCACTGAGCGGTCCAGAAATAAGTAAAACGGGAAAGGACGAAAGATGTAGTAACAACACCCAGCATATGCATCAGGAATCTCCTTGCGATGTGGAGTACTAGCATCTCCGTTTCACAGGTGCAGTAACTGAGGCTCAGAGCAAGAATGGGGCCTAACTGCATGACAATATGGAAGCCCCAGCCCCATGGCCTCTCCTCGGTCTTTCTCCATCCATTGCTCTACAACTCTTAACTTAAGCCAGGATGAGACCAGGGGGCTTCCCTTCCCAGAAGTCTTTGCAGCGCCGCGGAGAACTCTGGGATACAAATGGATAAACAAATCCAAGGCAAGGGCCGAGACCTAGGACCGAGAAACTCCGTCGTATGCCCGCGAGTGCCTTCTTCATCCCCTCTGTGTGCTTACCTTTCCTGGCGCTGCCGCTGTTGGGAGCGTCACCAATACCGGCAAAGGCCGGGAACAGCGCCATGATCACAGGCCGCACTGCCGTTCCCCTCGACAGAAATGGCGCCGGCGAGCGGACGCCGGTAGTGAGGCCCGCGCTCGCGGTGCACTCTGGGAAGTGTGGTTTTTTTTACCCCGGAGCTCCCTAGGGCTTGACCGGGGGACTGGGCGGGGCGACGAGGGGAGGGGAGGGGAGGAGGGGGACGGAGCCACTTCCGTGTAATTGGTACCGGAAGGCTTCTTTGAGAACCGGGAAAATGGAGAGACCCCGAAGTGGAATTGTTCAAAGGTGAAAGGAGCAGGAGCTGGGATCCTAGTTCGACCCCTGAACTCACACTATCACTAACTGGGTCAAAGTAATCAAGCTCTTCAAGCTTCAGTTTCCTCTTCTGCAAAATGTTCCTAAGATTAAATGAGCGTTGTTAAGTAAGGTGCTTACTTAGTTGTCGTTGTGCCTGGCCCATGGGAAGCACTTGAGAAAAGTTAGCTATTATGTGAGTTGTGACTGCAGATGGAACTCAAAGCCATGAGATGACGGAACTTCATTGAGGCGCCTGGGTGGCTCAGTTGGTTAAGCATCTACCTTGGGCTGGGGTCCTGGGGACCGAGCCCCGCATCGGAGCCCCGCATCGCATCGGGCTCCTTGCTCAGCGGGGAGCCTCTTCTCCCTCAACTGCTTCCCCTGCTTATGCACATGTGCTCTCTCTCAAATAAAGTAAACTCTTAAAAAAAAAAAAAAAAGAAGAAGCAATACAAAAGAATAGAACCTATCAGGTTCAAAGGTCTTTGCTAGAGAACTTATTTACCCACCCACGAGGTATTCTTGACTAAAAAAAAAAAAGAATCTGAATCTAATCAAGCCCGCTACTAGAAATATAGGGGATAAAGAAAATTAAAGAGTTCATACCACCTGGAAGCATCAGCCAAATCCAGAATGTGGGAAATTATAGAAAACAATCCAGTTTCTTCAAAAAAATCAATGGCTTTACGGGTACAGAATATTGCAATAGATTAAAAGACCTTTAGAGATGTAGCAACCAAATACAATATATGGCCTTGTTATGATTCTGATTAGACATTGTAAAAACATCTTTGTGAGACAGATGGAGAAATAAGAGGTGGACAGAGTGTTAGTAGATTACATCAATTAATTCTCGTTAATTTGGTTAGATGAACTAATGGCACTAAGGCTACTTTTTGAAGTTCTTATAGGGGTGCCTGGCTGGCTCAGTCGGTAGGGCATGCAACTCTTGATCTTGGGGTTGTTTTATTAAAGCACAGGGACAGGACCTGTGGGCAGAAAGAGCGCTGCCTGATCTTGGGGTTGTAAGTTCAAGCCTCACATTGGGCTTGGAGCATACTTTAAAAAATAATAAATAAAATAAAGTTTTTATATATTGGAGATACATACTCTAGTGTTCGCAGGTGAAAATAGATAAGTGAAAAAATATTTCTGGGGATCCCAGGGAGTTCAAAGATCTCCAGAGTTAAATAGAAAATATATTAGAAACCATTGCAAATCTAATCAAGGGACAGGTGGACTCAAGAAAGCTGCAGACCTTGTGTGAGTCCAAAATGAACACCCTTCATGCTTTGAAGACCTCTACATAGTGTTTGTAAAAAGGAGGGGTATGGTGATATGGGTAGTAAACCTTTGCATGTATGCAGCTTAAAAACTCAGGTTCTACCCAAATCTCTGGCTCTAAGTTACCTCAGTTAGTTGGGACAGCATCTGCCTCCTTAGCAGACCACTTTGCATAGCTGGGATGGTGACTGTCTTGTCCAGTGCTTCATACTTTTCTACTCCAGAAAAATAAGTAATATGGAACGCTTGGGAGAGTCAAAACCATAATAGTAATGGTTCTGTAATCAGAAGGAAATCTGGGCATGTTAGATATTTTCTGTGCTACAAATGTGTCAGAGAATTTGGCTTAAGAGATCCTCCTTGTAAGAACAATTTAAAGTGTATGATCAAGGGGTGCCTGGCTGGCTCAATAGGAAACACATGCTACTCTTGATCTCCGAGTCGCGAGTTTGAACCCCACGGTGGGTGTGGCGATTACTAAAAAAACAAGTAACTTTTAAAAAATAAAAAAAGGAGCACCTGGGTGGCTCAGTCAGTGAGCGTCTGCCTTCGGCTCAGGTCATGATCTTGGGGTCCTGGGATCAGAGCCCCACATCAGGCTCCCTGCTCCGTGGGGAGTCGGCTTCTCCCTCTCTCTTTGGCCCTCCCCCATCTTGTGCTCTCTCTCTCACTCTTTCTCAAATAAATAAATATTTTTTAAAAAATAAAATAAAAAATAAAAATTGTGGATAATTGAGTAACTGATATAAACCTCTGATTTTAAGTTGAAATCTTAGGAAGTTTAGGCCATCTAAGAGAATTTAAAGTGTACTATATGTGTAAGCATAATTGCTTAGCTTTATAAAAATTAATACTTGACAGGTAATTGAAGTACCTGTAAAAGAAATAATGTGTACATGCACTATTTTGGCCTTTTTTGGTGAAATGTTGAAATGTTCTATAATACAGCATTTTTAAACTAAAAATTAAAAAGCTTACTTTTTTAAAAAGCATAACAATAAGAGGGAACAAACTACTGACACACACAATATGAATGAATCTCAAAATCTGTACGCTGGGTAAAAACAGGCAGGTAAGCCCAAGAGTTCTTACCATATGGTTCTATTTATACAAAATTCTAGGAAATGCAAATTAATATATAGTAACAGAAAGCAGATCAGTGGTTGCCTATTGGGCTGTGGGAGCAGAGGGAGGGACATTCCACGGGAGGCATGCAGAATCTCTTGGGGGTGAAAGAAATGTTCTGGATCTTGATTGTGTTCATGGTGGTTTCACAGAAGTGTAATCACCACCTGGTTTTTTTAAAAGCTTAAGAACACACCAAGGTTTTGAATTTGTTGTTTTAATAAATTAAAAGACTAACCGGCGGTCAGCAAACTTTTTCTGAAAAGGGTCACATAGTAAATATTTTAGACTTAGCAGGACATATGGTCTCTGTGGCAACTACATTGAAATTTGAAGTTCGTACAGTTTTCACATGTCACAAAATATTCTTTTTTCTACTTTTTCCAACATTTATAAGTGTAAAACCTATTTTTTAAAAAGATTGTATTTATTTATTTGACAGAGAGACAGCGAGAGAGGGAACACAAGCAGGGGGAGTGGGAGAGGGAGAAGCAGACTCCCCGCCGAGCAGGGATCATGACCTGAGCTGAAGGCAGATGCTTAATGACTGAGCCACCCAGGCGCCCTGTAAAACCTATTCTTAACCCATGGGCCATACAGATCGGCAGTGGGTCAATTTGACCCATGGCCATAGTTTGCTGGATCCTTGCAAACTCTCTATCATTAAACAAAACTGAAAGTAAACTTTTGACTGGTCTTTTCTGCATAGGAAAACCCACTCCAGAGTGCATGGAAACAGCTCACTTTAACTGTTGTTATTATTATTATTATTATTGTTATTATTATTGTTACTATTTCACTCTACAGACTTTGGGTATTTCCAGGGCCTATGGCAGGGATTTCTTAATAAATCCATAAAAACGGTTTGGGAGAGAGAGAGCGCTTGAGCACGGGGGAAAGGGGCAGAGGGAGAGGGAGGATGCAGGGCTCGATCTTAAGACCAAGAGTCAGATGCTTAACCGATTGAGTCCCCCAGGGACCCCAGATAGCTTATTCTTAAACTAGCACATCTTCCCAAAATGGCCTGAAAGGATTTTCAGCTTTTGTTGTCAAAAGAATTCTTCCAGAAAATGGCATGTGTTTTATAGTTATATTGATAATGAAAGAAATCAACAATAAACCTTCTGTTTTAAAATAATTTTTAAATAAGCAAATAAATCCCCACTATTTAGGCTGCCTTTCTTTGACTAGAAAAATGACATTTTAAGAACTTGTTTGGCCTCAGTCTCCATTTAAAAACTTCTTTATCTTGTTGACTTTTGTCTCTCTGGCTTGTGGTCACGTATCTTTTAAGCGTGAGACAGGAGTGGCCCGTGTATCGCCTCTCCCTTTTCCTCCCATCTACACCTCTCTTTTCACTGTCTCCTGTCACTGCCCAAAGGAACAAAAGTGTGGATTTTTTTCCCCCTGTAAATTTCCAGTTCCAGGTGAAAGTATCTAAATTAAATTGGTTTCACCTTTTGCCCATCTCTGTAGGAATGCAGAAAGAACTCTCCATTTTAAGCATGGAATACATGCTTGATACAGAAAAAGTTTTAAATGCAGGAAAGTATGAAGAAAATGCAGAATAATCACCCATATTTCCATTGCCCAAAGACAAATACTATTTCAGAGTATTTCTACACAGGCCTTTTCTTTCTTTCTCTTCTGCTTTTCTGGTATCTTAGTTTATGGGTATATTTTTTCATCATAGTTGTGATTACTTTTCCTCCTAATATAAGCATCTCTCTGTTTTACACAAATGCCATAAACATATATTAGATGTAGAATATTTCATCCAGATATTTAGCAAATCTAGATATTTAGCAAACCTCACTTGTGTCATCTCATTGACTTTATCCATGAGTTCTCCAAACATGAATGGCCAGATGGGATTGTGAGCCACAAGATTGCAAATGGTAGATCATCCACCAGTGGCCAAGAGGGTTGGATTTGTTTGGTGTGTTTGTGTGTGTGTGTGTGGTTTTTAATTTTAGACAGAGAGAGAAAGAGAGAGCCCATGAGTGGGAGGAGGGGCAGAGAGAGAGGGAGAATGTCAAGCAGACTCTGCGAAGCAGGGCTCAACACGGGACTCCATCTCACAACCCTGAGACCATGACCCGAGCCGAAATCAAGAGCCAGATGCTGAACCAACTGAGCCACCCAGGCACCCCTCAAGAGGGGTGTTTATAATGATGCCCAGTGCTGGAGCATGAGGAGTGGGGTGGTAAAATGGCGGTGAACAAGAGGACACTTTCTAGAAAGACAAATATAACTTCAAATAATAAATACAAAGCTCCACAAAACAATCAGCAAAGTAACTATACTACATCCCAACTGTACACACAGACATATCAACAAACAATTCCGGCCTGAAGAGGTTAAGCACAAAGATAATCTATAAATGA